GTTATAACCATGGATCCTGTCACCAAAAGCCAAATGACTGAACGACCGAGTTGGTGGAGGACAAGAAAACAGTCAGCTTTCTGGTGAATCAAATACTGCTGGTCCGGGTTAGGATTTGTAAGCAAACTAAAATCACTCTCAACACAAATGAGAAAAATCAAACAGAATGTATTTCCTAGGATGTCATAGTGGGTCAACATTTCAAAACAGTGTTCAATTAAGAAACTAGAAAGAGAAAAATATGTGACCATCTCAACAGAAGCAGAAAAATCATTTCATGAAATGTAACACCCACAGCAAAGCAGTTCCTGCAGGCTGGGAAGACTTTTCTCCCTGAGACAGAATGTCAGCTAGAAACTTGAGCAAATGTCACATCCAAAGATGAAATACTGTAATTACTGCTTCTGGTGTTCGAAGTAAGAAAGACTGTCCGTGACGGTGAAGTCATACTGACCTGGGTGTCGGTCCTAGACAACTGAAAGATGAAAAAAAAAAAAAACAAGCAAAATGTAAAGATTTGAAACTAAAATATTAGTGTGGGCGTGCAATAAAATTATATTCCTCGAAAGCTTAGGCGATGCATCTGGAATAAACTACTGGGAGCAGAGTTTGTTCAGTTAGAAGGTCAAACACAATGTTAACCTGTGAAAACTCCAGCTTGCTTCTACTCTACAACTGGTACAAAACATCATGAAAAAGACCGACTGGTGAAAACACTACAACTGCAAAACACCTCAAAATACTCAAGATCCAACTGAAGAAAAATGACAAAGTTTTATCAAAGGGCATACAGGAAAACCCCGGTGAGTGAAGAGAGTGTTTGTGCATCCACGTAAAAAGATGCTCGCTGTTCTCCAGTTACTCTGTAAATCCAGTGAGCTCAAGATCAGTTCACAGCTGGATGTCCAGCGGACTTATAAACAGGGCCTAGCACTCCCCTGGAAGAGGACTGGCACACTCCCTGAGGCCATCTGGGGGAGCTGGAGAAGAGAACATGCTGTTCCCAGTTTCTGAGGCAGACCTGGAGCAGCTGGTTGGAGGGTGGGTGAGAAGGACACACAGAACACACACTTTATGACTTTAAATGGCACGTGATGTCGATAAGCACGGAAGCTTGGCCTTTTGGTTTTTCCCAAACTCTACCATGAGAGCCAGGCTTGAGTGCCAGCCATGGTGAACGGCCAGGAGACGCCTCCAGGAGACAGGAAACCCTCAACAGGGTTTTGTCCCCAACGTAGAAGTCCACAACACTGCCAAACTCCAGGATGATTTTACAAGCCACATTAACCAGATCACGATCAAGTTCAATCAATTTCTGCCATATTGCTATCATGCTCCCCCTCCAGCCTGCTGCACTAAACACAAAAGAAATGACAATGAGCAGGCGCCGCACGCCTGGAGGCACTAAAACCACACAAACAGGCCTTATGGGATGCCTGGCTAGCATCACTATTCATCCTCAGGCCCATCTTCTGCTGGAATACTTGAGAAAAGTAAATGAGCACGCTCTCCCCTTTCGAACCCATGTTTTCGAAATGTCAGACACAACCGTCCATCCGCTAAGAGGAGCTGATGGGAGACAAACCTGGCCACTGTCTGTCATAACACCAAAACAAAAACGCAACGTGAAACAAAACATCACTATATTGGTATAAGGACTCAAAAGCAGCTCAACAGAATAGGAAGGGAGCCAAGCAGCAGAGCCAGGAGGATATAGGCGTGCATGATAAGACAATGTGGAATGTCACATCGGTGGCAAAGGAATGGCCACTCAAAGAATGGCATTTGTCCATTTGGAGAGATTAATTCACATCGTTGCATTTAGTTATTCGAAAATGTAAGCTCCGAAGGACCAACGCTGAACACACAACGAAGAGATGCGCAACATCACGAGAACACAGAGAACGTGACGTAGGGAAAGCCTTGAGGAAGCCTGTAGGGAAAAGCGTTTCAGTTTTGCTCTGTCACCTCTTAGAACTCTATCAAAGGAAATTGCCATAAATGTATCTGAAGAAATTGATCTGATTAGGAAACGATATTTGCTCCATTTCAAACAAAGAGTTGGAGTTCAGAATATCTAAGAAACTCTGAAAAAAAAAGATAAGTGGTCCAATAAAGAAATGGATGAAAGATATGAATTGGTCATTTGCATAAGAAATCTTATCCCCAAAAGAAAATAAAGCATGCATACAAAATGAGCTATGATATGCTAAATATCAAATAACTATCACTAAAACTCAGGGGAGTTGATCCAGTAACTTAGTGAATTCCCCCAGGGAGGTGACAGCCAGTGAGACCTTTCAGGAGGGAAGAGGTCACTTCTACCAGGACAAAAGTCAGACATGGAAACAGTAAAGGCCAGTCAGGCTTGAGTTAAGGTTGCAGGTTAAGCAGTACAATAAAGCTGGAGCTGGCTGCAAAGTCTCTCACGCCAGCTTAAAGAGCTGGGCTTTTTGTTCGTTTGTTGTTTGTTTTTTAAAATTCAGGATGCAAAAAGGAATCCCTGAGTGACTTCAAGAGGTGTATGAATAAAAAATGAAATCTGGGGGGTTGAGGTGAGTGCTGAAGAGATGATTCAGTGGTTGGGAGCACTGGCTGCTCTTCCAGGGGACCCAGGTTCAATTCCCAGCGCCCACAGAACAGCTCACAACTGTCTGTAACTCAAGTTCTGGTGGCTCTGATGTCTTCACATCAATTTACATAAAACAACAAAAAGTTAAATAAACCGTGTGTGTGTGTGTGTGTGTGTGTGTGTGTGTGTGTGTGTGTGTGTGAGAAGCGTCTGACTATTTAACCCAAGGTCAGGCAAGACAAGAGCAAGCAGATGAAGCCCCGGCTTTACTAGGAAGCTTACCCTTATGATAGAGGTACCCTGTGTGGGAGCAACAAGAACCCTCTGCCAGTCTGAGTCCGTGCCGGTGGGGGCAAACACTGTGACGTACAAAGAGCAAATGCAAAAAGAAAATCCTGTTAAACAATTTATTCCCCATCTCAACAGTTGGGAGCCTAAGAAACAAACAGGAAGAGGAGGAAGGGAGGCCATTTGGCAACTCTTTTACTGATCAAATAAGCTCTTAGGAACATCCCTACTGTGGAGACTGGAGAGAAAATTAAGTTTTACAAAGGCCAGTGTCACCCCTGGTTTGTAGTGGTTTCAATTGTAAGATAATTTTCTTGCTAAAACTTTTCTTTCCAACTACAAGGTCAAAACTACACCCAAGTTGGATGAATGAGGTTTTCAACAAAAATGTCTTTTAAATAGAGGGGGGGCTGCAAGCGGAATTTCTGCCCCCACTCTACTTTAATTACGGTAACAGTATGACAATTCCTAACACCTTTCATGTGAGGTGATCAAAAGCCATTTTATCACACGCGTGCTTTTATTTATATGAAGAAAACCTCTCCAGATTTCAGTGAGGAGGTGCGATTTATTACATATTTGCATCAAAGCTACCAACTCGGACACCCGACAGCAAGTCATATTTTACCAGAAATGAAGCCTTAAAATTTTACTGTCATAAGGCTCCCAGTTCCCGGCTGTATTTTAGCATTCCTGCCAAGCTTGCCAAGAGGGAAGGGCGCCTTGAACTTTCCTGACCCTGTTGTGTCAAACACATCTTCCATGTGCTTCGAGCCCTGCCTAGCTTCTTTTTGACAGTCATGTCTGAAGTTTAAGAAATTCTCCACAGGAAAAAACCCTCCAAACTCAGCGCACGCCTTCACTCACATCTGGAGCCAGGCACAGACCTCCCCACCCCCCACCCAGGCTTGGCTGCCTTTTCCTGACAGGAACGGGGAATGACCAGGAGCTCGCTCTCCTGGGCCTTAGTCTTTTCCTTCCTTCTTTCTTACCCTACTTCTCTCTGCCTTTAGAGTTCTCTTCTCCCTTCTAGGGCTCAGAGTCCTTGAATACACTAGAGACCCCGATATACCAAGAGCTCCACAAATATTTCATCAACCAAACTAGTTTCCCAGCAGGGTTCAGGGGGTGGTGACCCCCCATCCTCAGAGGCCTCCTTGTGAAGTCCAATGGCAGGGTAGAGAAAGAACATGGCCGTGTTAAATGCGGAGACCCAGAGGTGAGGGCCATGTTCAAAGCAGCCCGAGCATTTCTGATCTGCGGCCAGGCTTCTGAATCACGGGTCCCATGGCCTCTCAAGTCGGCCATCTGGACAGTCCACAGCTGACGGCTAGCTAGCGGGTTACGGGCGGAAATCTCCCTCCCTTCTTCCAATCGGCAACACGAAGCATGATCGCTGGTTCTGGAATGGCAACGCTGAGAGTGGTGTCTAGAGCTCTGTGCAGCTCTCTGGGCAGAATGGGAAAGGGCTGTGGTCAAGCAGCAATGTCCTCCATGAACACAGAGGAGAAAGTCGATCGCAACAGTCCTGTTGGTCAGTGCGGACAGGGTTGTTCAAAGGACACCCGGCTCTTCTCTTATCCATATGGTGCTACGGTAGGATCTGGAGGACCCAAGGTACCCTCTCCTTCTCATGGCCGGCACACTGGCTGTTGGAGTCCAGAGTTAAAGCCCAAGTAGTGGGAGGGTGAAGCTGAGATTGGCTGTCTGGTTTGTTCCTTCAGCACGTTAGACTTCATCAGTTGGTGGTTCAGGCGCTTAGGACAGAAAAGAATAAAAGCTTCAGGCCATATAAGGGTCTCTTGCAAGAGACTTCTTTAAGCCACAGCAAATAACAATGGCGGCCAGGCTTAATGGGAGAAGTAGACTCCACTTCTTAAAACGTGTTTATGTGTGTGTACATACGTGTGTATACTTTTAAATTAATTTATCTATTGCATGTATATGCTGTGTCTGAGAGTGTGAATGTGGAGGTCACAGGGTAACTTGCGGCGTTATTGGCCCTTTCCTACGACCACGTGGGTCCCCAAGATTGAACTGAGGATGGCAGGCTTCTGCGGCAAGCCCCCTCACCTGCTGAGCCAGCTTGCAGGCCCCAGGTTCTTCTTGATGGAAGGTCCTGCACCTGGAGGGACACAAGGAATGGCTGACCATCATCTTTGCAGAGAAGTTGCCCTAGTTTTTATTCAGCCCATTTGATGAGCTGGAAAACTGGTCTGAAAAAAATCATATTATGAGATAGGTAAGGGGTTATGTTGATGTTCCTGAAGATCCATCCGTAATTTAAATTGTTTATATGTCACTATAGCTGCTTACACTCAGGTGTGTTCACAAACACATATTTAGTTAGTATCTAAATGTTGTCAAATGTGATCATTTGTTAGATTAGTGACGATCCTCGTGACTATCAATAAATGACAGCGTTAGAGGGATTTTTACTGTTGTTGACTTTGAGAATGCAATGGGAAATAGGAGATCACAAATACAATGAAGATGGCAGTTTCTTTCCACGGCTCTCTTGCCCCTTAAACAGTGCAGAGCAGTGAGGGGTAGAGAGGGAAGTTACAAGCCTGGGCCCAGGAGGGTCCTCTGAGTGCCACACACCCAGCTTTCCTTTAGGGCTTTTGCTCACTTGCTCAAATCATTTTGTACCAAATTATACTGTTTGGTCCCCATGACGTGGTTGATGATAAAGGATTTCTTTTCTTCTTTTCTTCCTTCCCTCCCTTCCTCCTTCCTTCCCTCTTTCCTTCTGTGCTTTCTTCCTTCTTTCCTTCCTTCCTCAGTTCCTTCCTTTCTTTCTTTCTTTCATTTTTAAGCTACTTTTCAGACAGAAGCCAGCCTGGACCCTGTTCTGGAAACAACATCAAGAACAATGTGGCAGAGACCACTGGTTGAGTTCACTTGTTATGCTCGGCCATGTCCAGGAGACACTGTTTTGCTCTGCTCCCCTCCAACCACCAGCTCTTACAATCTTCCCACTTTCTCCTTCTCTACGGTCCCTGAGCCTGGTGTGTGTAGGTGACACAGATGTCACTCTGTGACCCAGCACTCCACTGACACTCTGTACTTCGTTCAGTTGTGAGCTCACAGGACCAACCCTCTTGCCATTGTTCTGTTAATGGACACAGCACCAAACCACCCTCTAAATTCATATCTCTAACCCACAGATCAGTTCAGCTCTCATCAGGGAAGTGTCTGTGTGCAGTGAATGGTGATCAGTGAAGAAAGGAAGGACTCAGTATTTTTAAAGCCAGAAGACAATTCATGTGGTGGTCACCACGGTATAGTGAGCGAATCGCTTGCCATGTGAAGTTAACTGAGGAGAAATACCATGAATAAAGTCACAGACATCATGTCACAGTCACAAACATGACTCCGTAGAGGATGTCAGCCATTGTTCCAGCACATGAGTACTGAGAACATACTATGTCCCTGTGTTAACTGCTCAGAAAAGCAGACAGCAGGCCACGTCTCCAGTACCATCTACTGCATTTCACTATATCCTCCATGGCACAGCCTAAAACACGGTAATAAAACATTAGAAATAACAAAGGAGATGTATGTCGCACTTAAAAATAAGACACTGCTCCACAGCTTCAGCCTATCCTAACTACTGTTTCTACTTTGTCAACAAGGAAACTGAGACACAGAGAATCCAGATGACCCCATGCCTGTAGGCTGGGACTGCTGCTTTCCTGGTCTGGTTCTAGAGATCTTTTTAATGACCACGACATGGCATAGATGGCAACTTAGCAGCCTGGGGGAGCTGAGGACAGGCCTGAGGATCAGTCAGCAATGTCGCCATGGCGAGGACGAGAAGAGGCTTTGAAGGACTGGAGGACAGGGGCCTCCTGGGGGCAGTGACGTCAGCTGGGCTGTGATGGAGCTCCACGGCAGGAGTGTGTTCAGAGTGAAAAGTCCTGTGTCTCTTGATGACACCGTTACGGACAGCCCGTGTCCTCTCTTCAGAGACCTTCCCCCGGCAACACTCACTGAACCTGAATCCAACTCCAGAGTCAAGTTCCCAGATGTGACACAAATAGAATCTGGAAATGTGAGACGGGAAATCATGGTCATGAAATCCCCTTGTTGTTATCGCTCCTATGTTTCAGTTGTCTGAGTTCTCCTGTCCCCTCATACCAACCCCCTCCCATGTTTTTACAATAGTGAGGACAGAAGGGTCACTGGGTTGGGGAGATAGTTCAGTCCAAAACAGAAAAAAAAAAGCTTGATGACAAAGCAGGAGGACCCGAGTTCAGATCTTCAGCACCAACACAGAACGTAGGAACCCTGGCAAGGCAGAAACAAGAGACTCTCGAGTTGGATTCAGGTTCAGTGAGTGTTGAGGGTGACCCTGCTCGGACACCCCTTGGGGGAGGGGGTGAGAAGACACAGCAACAAAGACTCAGGTACTGAGGGTCAGTGAGTGGCAGAGCAAGCGTGCTGCAGACTCTTACTAAGGAAGCTAGGCCTGCCTTTACACCCCCTCCCAAGGCTCCACTGGCTCAGGCGCTGACTCTGCTGCATGTCCTTTCCTCATTGGTGTCTCTGGGTCAGGTGTCTCCCCATCAGCAGTTTCTGGGAGTTGAGGCAGGCTTGGAGGCGTGGCTCAGGGAAGCAGTGCCTGCCCCGCGTGCGCATGCTCATGTGGCCTGGCCCGTGCACTGGGGGGCGTGGCGACTGCGGCTTGTGTAGACTGGCCTCGGTTTCTCCTACAAGTGAGAAAACCTGTTTCCTAAAATAAAGTGAAGAGCAATAGAGGAAGATACACAACACCAACCTCTAGCTTCCAGGTTCCTGTGCGCACATGTATATAAACACACTTGTATGCACATGTGCACTTAAGAACATGCACACACCACAGGATGGGGGAGGGAGGGAGGAAGAGGACAAGGGGCGACGGAAAAAGAGAAAGATATTACCTGGTAAATGAACCTGTGGCCCAAATCCGATGTCTGAAAGAATAACAGTCTTCCTCATCAGTGAACTCTCAAAAATGCCCCCCCTCCAACGTGTCCATCCTGCTAGTCCTGGGTCCACAATGAAACTGTCACACAGAAAGGACAGTGAGACACATCTAGTAACCCCTGAACTCCAAAAGAGGCAAACATTCATTTGTCAGTCAAATGGCACTGGAGTGAGAGACACTGAATTTGAAATTAAATCTCATCGCCGTCTTAAAGTCACCAGCAGGCATTGGTACCATCATCTATACAATAAAGGAAGAATCAAGATGAACTCTGAAGGACCCTGGCAGCTGGAACCTCCCACCCCCAAGACTCTTCTGCACGTAGTGGGTGGTGCCTGTTCTGTTTGAAACAGGGTTGCACTGGCAGGCTGTGCTCTCAGAGCTGGAAACTGGGCATCCGGTACCCAGCTCAGGCATGCCTGTATTCCCATGGAGCCTCCTGGTTTAAGCATTTTCATGCCTCACTGCAGGATCTCCTTTGTAACCTGAAATGAGATACCTGTCTCCCTATTAATATCCTCACACTGTCTGAATGCATTTTCAAAGCTCATGGGGCTTGGCCACCTGTGGACCTGGCTTTGTTACTGTTGGTTGGAGTCTTGCATATTTGACTTAAAAACTAGCACTAGCACAAATGTGGGTTTATCTGAGCAGGAAAACATGACATAGAAGGAATGGGTAAATTTCCTTTGCAAAACAGACAGCTTTGGATGTGTTTTCCAGGCTGGGGATTTGCACGAACTTGAATGAGCAGCCCCTGTGGTTCTCAGTAGGCAAAGTGAGTGGCAATGAGGTTACAGGGAAGGCAACAAAGGAAAGGGCACTGGACAGTCACTTGGATCCCCTGGTCACTGCTCATCTCTGCATGATTCTTCAGTTTTTAGATTCTCTTAGTCCCTATTTCATTCTGTCATCGCAGTGCTGGGTAGAAGAATGGACCACAGACAGTTTGCTGTTATGGAGAGGAAGCTGAAGATTTGGGAGGGTGGACTACCACCACTACAGACACACACACACACACACACACACACACACACGCACGCACGCACGCACGCACGCACGCACGCACGCGCGCGCCCTCATTGCCTCCTACTGAAGCCCCCTCCCTCTTGACGAAGCTCCTCCCTTCTGATGAAGCCCCTCCCTCCTGCCAAAGCCCCTCCCTCTTGCCAAAGGCCCTCCCTCCTGCTGAAGTCCATCCTGGGATTTAAATGTGAACTTACAAGAGCAGGCAGGCTGCTTTCCTCATCCATGTGACTTTAGGGCTTGGCATGCAAACTCCAAAACATGTGTTGAATTTCCTAAACTCCAGTTTGACCAATGAAAGAGACTGGCCTTTATCAGTTTACTCAAATAGGGACAGAAAAAAATTTGCCTAACTCCTCCCAGTCCCCAAGGGTCCCATACAGTTTGTCTTCTGTTAGGTTCCAATTGCTTTCTTCACTTGGCCTCTCTGACCCTCTTCTATTCCTTTAGCTATGCCAGACACACTACTTCTTCCTCAGGACCTTTGCACTGGAGATTTTCTCTTCCTCTTCCCCAAAGCAGTCTGCTCTAACTTTCTCCTTTCCCTCACGTTTTATAAAGCTGTTATTGCCGTCTGCCCAAGGCTTGTGTGTGAGCATGCCAGCCAGCCACTCTCTGCCCCAACATTTATTATTTTTGCCATCTCTGTTCCACACAGTGACATTTTGGCTTCCTGTAGACTCTTCTTATGTTGTATGGGTATTATTTATCATCTGTCTATACCTATTAGGAGGTAAGAGTTTTTAATTCACTGATTTATCTCAAGGACTTATCACCATGCCTGGCATTTACCAGACAGTAGTAAATGTTACCCAGTGAATGGATGAGTTGGTGATTGGATAAATGGATGGATGAGTAGGTTTGTAAAATCACAGTAAATGCTTATTTCATGGAGACATTTTGTTTTGTTTGTTTGTTCCTTTGTTTCTGGCATATCCAATGCATCCAAGGTAAACTGAAACCAGATTGCTTAGTGCTACTGGGTCACTGAGATTAGGGACTAACTATGCTGTCTTTGCCCAAGGGAGGGGAAACTATGGCTTGGGTCACTGATCCTGCACTGACCTTTAACCCCAGATGTGGTTCTTGGAAACAGGAATGGAGGGCAGACTGCAAAACAGAAAGAGCCATTTCTCATGATGGCTATTCAGAGGGACTCCCCGCCCAATCGGAGTGAGGGTGTCATATACAACAGTCCTAGATGTCAAGGAAGAGTCAGGCTGTGTGCCCTCAGAGCCAGTGAGGGACCAGTACAGGTGCTGAGTGGGGATGCAGGAGAGATCTGATGGGTAGGTGTCTTAGGTAGGGTTTCTATTGCTGTGAACAGACACCATGGCCAAGGCGGCTCTTATGAAGAAAACATTTACTTGGGGTGGCTTACAGTTCAGAGGTTCAGTCCATTATCATCATGATGTGGAGCATGGCGACATGCAGGCAGATGTGGTGCTAGGACAGTAGCTGAGAGTCCTACATCTTGCAGGTAACAGGAAGTCTACTGAGACACTGGGCAGTATCCTGAGCATAGGAAACATCCAAACCCACCCCTACAGTGACACATTTCCTTCAACAAGGCCACACCCACTCCAACAGAGCCAAACCTAATAGTGCCATTCCCTATGAGATCATGGAGGCCAATTACATTTAAACTACCACAGCAGGTGTGGCTTCTCCTGAACCCAAGGAAGCACTGAGCAAGGGTTTGGTGGGCAGGATAGAAGGAGGAATTCCCAGAAGCTGTGAAATCTCAACCAGGATGCTGAGGCCAAATGCAGGTAAGCCAGGGACATCTGTGTGGAGCAAGCCTTGTGGATGGGAGCCGAAGCCCTTAGACTGGTCAATTGGCAGCATCCAAGAGGAAGCAGTCAGAGCCCAGAACCAGGTAAACGAATCCCCGGAGACCAGATGAGCAGCTGAGGAAGACTCAGCCAAACACCTTCCTTCAGTATCTCCTACCTAGGTCTGTACTGGATGGGGACTGAGGACAAGCCACACTGGATGAAGGAGGTGGCCAAGGCCAGGCACAGCTATGGAGAGAGGAGGGCCACAGGGCAGAGACGCTGAGCAGGGCTGACTCTGGTACCCAAAGGCTTCTTGAAGAAGATGGCTGAGTCCAGATCCTCCTTATTTGACAAGGCATCACAGAGAGCCACAGGCTCTCTGGAAGTTGTTGGTTTAAAACTGGACAAGTCCTTACTGCATCCATTCCCATCTCCTGAAGGAGAGCACAGGGTGGGGGAGGGGGGCCTGAAGCTGATGCACGCCCTCCCTCCTGCTCCATTCCCCATCACACTGGTCTGCTGGAACTAAACTTCAGAAACAAAAATGCAGCATCCCTTCACCTCTCCTCCCACTGAGCCGAGGGGCCAGCTGCAGCAAGAGCGTCCTGTGTAGAGATCCTATCGGCCGCGAAGAAAGCAGAAATATTAGACGCGGCTAAATAAGAAAACACAGATTATTGCTGGAGACCCCTAAGGCCTACTTTGACTGTGCCATAGTTTGTTTTACTTTTCACAGAATTTATTTTGGCTGCAGCCAGATTGATGGTGATTATATCTGAAATCCCTCCCACATATCTGTCACATAAACACTTCGTTTAATTCACATTTGTAAAAATCTACAGGCCAACTGGGAGCCGGCTTTTGGATTAATTAGCAGACATTAATACTGGGCATCTTGTCACTGAGGGCCAACCTGGTGACTTTCTCGGGAGTCTGAGCCTGTGAGCCGGATAAGAAACACCAAGGAGGGAATAGAAAGGAAAGAAAAAACCACACTGTAACTGACCTGACTAGGGAAACAAACTCCCCGCCTGCAGAGTAGACTGAAATCGTCCATCCCGAAGTAGCCAGAAAAGGGGGATTCACAAGCGTCTTGAAGTGGATACAAAATAAAGCCCTGCTTCCTGGAAGGTTCTGTTCATACCATCACTAGATCCAACACCTCCAGGGAGGAGGAAGGGCCTTAGGGGCCAGGGCTGGGAGGGAGGCCCCTGACTGAGTACTTGAAGGGAGTTGGGAAACTAGGACTCCTAACAGCCATGGCTGTGAATAGAAAGCCCCAGACCCCTTTCCCTAGTGGTTACCCTGGATCTGCCAGCTCCAGGCAGGATTTCCTCCTGTCTGAAGGGAGTGTGCCCCTAACAGGCTGCACATGCCCAACAGCTGCTGCTTTCCTTCTGCCACTGCCGCTGAGACAAGAAAGGCTTTATTTCCTACAGGTTTTCTAATCTGCAGGCCCCCTGGCTCCACAGGCCTGCTCTGGGCATGGTAACTTAGGGCCTCCGGGGCCAAATTCCCCTTTGCTTAGAAAGGGCTCTTTTCTTCTCCCTATTCCTTTTGCTTTCGATTTAGGGTGGGGCTCCTCCACCAAGGGAGCTGTGCTGAAAGTGCCCTGGGCTTGAGCAGCGGGCTGTATGGTTCTCAAATGCTTTCCAGATACACTTTCTGCTTCAGGAAAGTTGTTCCCTTCCTCCGTGGATAGGCCCAAGCCTGGAAGAACTCTATCAGCCAGAAAAAAAAAATGTGTGTGTGTGTGTGTGTGTGTGTGTGTGTGTGTGTGTGTTTATGTGCATGGGGTGTGTGTGTATACATGCATGTATGCACACAAGCTTGTGTAGCTTGTATATGGTGGCCCACACTGCTTGGGTTTCTTCCTACATCGATTTTCATACTAGTTTTCTAAAACAGGGTCTGTCACTGAACCTGGAACTCACCAATTAATTGGCCAGGCGTGCTGGCCAATGAACTCCATCCAGGGACCTTTGCCTTTCTCCAGCTCTGGGGTCACTGATGCTTGCTACTATGCCTGCTTTGAAGCTCATGCTGGGCGTCTGAACTCAAGTGCAGGGACAGGCACTCAACCAACCAGCTCCCCAACTCGATCTGTGTCCCCAGCCGAGAATAAAAATTACTGAATGCTGAAGCCTTTGGACTATGTGTACACCATCCCAATTAACCCCAAATCCCAGCTATTGAACCCTATGTGGGCCCATTTCACAGAGGAGAATGATTAATGGTGAGGTTGAATGATGTGCAGGTTTATTCCAGTCTAGAAGGACCCAAAACAGGGCGTGAGTGCCTCCTTTGCTGGGACCTGCTTCTATACTCCACCCTGATTTCCAGAAGGGGCACAGGGTCTGGAAACCTGTCACTCACCCTGTGCCAGAGGGACATCAGACCAGAACCAGGTCCCCAGGCCTCTGCTTCTCTCTGTGTAAAGGATGGGTGTGCAGCATTGCCCTGGGCCCTGGCTTCTCGGGCTGCTTGCCTCTATTCCAGCGTCTAACAGCCACAAGAACTGGGCCATCCCACAGTGCTCAACCTGCAGAGGGACAGGAGGCCAGAGACCCGCTTCCAGCCGTATCCAGTTACTAACCAAACACTTGTCTTTCTTCCCGGCTGAAACTGAATGTGCCTGCCTGCTGCTTGCCGTTCTTCACTAAGAAAGCTAGATTTTAACCCCTTACCAACAGCAGCTTTTCCTCCCCAGTGTACAAGACACAAGGCACCAATCTGTCTGGCTGATTCTGCTCAGACTTTAGACTTCTTGCAAGGAGAGAGGCTTTTGGGAGCCCAAGCAGAACACACAATTTTTAGCTTAGCCTGCCCTAATTTTTCACTGTTCTTTTTTTTTTTTTTTGTCCGTGTCACTTTGGAAGTGTGATTATTTCACCTCCTCTTAAAACAAAGGGTGCCCTTGTCTAGAGGGCAGGGAAAGGGGCAGCTAGTTTGGAGGAGGGTAGAGGAGGGTGGGACAGGGCGGGGAATCAGTGTCGGGGGTCACCCTTGGTGCAAGCATGGGTATTCTCCAAGGTAGACACCCCAAGTGTGTAGGATGTTTCCATCTACACCATTCACAGGGCTGGGAGACCATTAACTCTTTGTCTTCAGACTGTCTTCTAGGGAAGAGACCATCTTAGTATTTTGTGCTTTTGACTGAAGATTTTTAAAAGCTATCCTCACCCAAAAAAAAGCACCACCAGGGGGTAATATGTAGCCACAATGAGAACCCCAATACTCCCCACCCCAGGGTTGAGGACATTAGTGAAGGCGAAACGGCGAGTCAGAGGACCAGTTGTCAGACCACATTGCCAGATGCAAGCCTTCTGCCTTCAGCACAGACTTTTTCTATAACAAACCCACTTTGGGGTCATCCATCATTGCATAAGTACACACCTGGGAGACGGGGGACAAGTCCCCATTTTTTTCTGGTTTTGTAAATACGGAACTCATGTTTCTCCCGATTGACATCTGCAGAGGAATGATCGATTAGAGCACCTTCCCTCCCAGGGCAATTGCAAGCAAACTGGTGCAGACTTCTGCACCCCACACCCCACAGAGGAAGCAAGCCTCCCCTGCCACAGTCTTCCTCCTCTGAATCCTGAGAAGTGATCTTGCTGCAAGCTTTTCACCCAGTGAA